TTTTTTTTTATATGGGAGTTGAAGTCGGTGTTTTTTTTTTGCTAAAAATTACTAGTAGTATAATAATATGCAAGTGTCCAGAAATTAACGTTGATTTTTAGAATTTTTTCGTCGCATTTCATTCCATACAATAAATGCAATTAATTTTTATATACATACATGTATGAGTTTTGTTAGGGAATGAACTGTATTTTAATTGACATTTTTTTAAATAAATAAATACACATAAGTGGGAAACAAAATCTTTTGAAATTTATTGCAAATGATATGACCACTACCGTATGTACATATGTATATATACATGTATGTACTCACAATTCTGTCCTTTAAATCTCTTGTCACTTTGAAAACTCGATAATACGAATTTTAAATCTCGACTACTTTTAGATATCTTGTCACTCTGAAAACGCAAATAATACTGATTTCCATCATCAGCTCGATCAGTCGCACTTGCATCAATTTGCATAATTTGCGCAATGCAATTTCTTGAAGGAAAATCAACGAAATGTGTGTAAAGTGTTCATAGATAGACAATTGTTGATCTCAAGGACCCCACTCAATACTTTGCCACACCCTGCAAAAGTAGCGAACATAAACAAATTTACTACCAGCTATTGTTTTCGAGAGTTTCCACGATCCAAGACCTAAGTTTTAAAGCAAAACCGCAAAAATGTGGTCAAATTTTCATAGATACATTTGAAATTGCTGATCTCAATACTTTCAATACTATGCCACACATTTAAAAATTGTAAACATAAATAAATTTACTACCAGCTATTGTCTTCGCAAATTTCTAAGTTTTAATTAATAAGTTAAATCAATTATTAAATATGGGTAGCAATCGAAATGGTTTTGAAAAGGCTTTATAACTTAACTACGTATAGGAGGGTTGCCACATGTAAAAAAAATGTATTCAATTTTAATTATGTAAAGGAATTTGGTAAGTGAATAAGGTATCGCTATATGGATGTCATATAAAAGAGGTTTAAGAAGGTAGTAGTTTGGAAATATTTTGAATAGGGTTGCGACCTATTTAATTGAACTATTGGGTATAAGTTATATGAAATATGAGCGATGGATGTCAAATGAAAGAGTTTCAAGAAATTATTGGGGGATTCACAACGGTGTCGTAAGTGTCGTATTGTTGTATGTCGTAAACTTTAAAAGCACCACTGAGAAATGGCTTAGATTAATTATTAGGAATATTTTTAGAGGTTATTTAATAGGGTTTCACCTGTTTAAAAAGTTTAATTAAATGTTGGCGTTTTGACGTCATGCGGGTTCACTAGTATATATATCTATTTTTTTATATGAGAATTGAAGTCGGTTTTTTTTGCAAAAAATTACTTGTTACCTAAAATGATGTTACTCGGAGCTCGCTTGTGCTATGCTAATCCTCTTTTGACCACAGCGCTCAATTTTTCGATGGTCCGGCAATTTGTTTGGAGGATATGTTCATTATACCTTTTATATTAACCCAAGACACCAAATGCCAGCAAGCAAAACATCCCAAGCCATTAAGCTGCCACTTAAATTTTGTAA